TTCTCTTACACAAGATACAAGTTTTCTGGTGAGCATTAAGCTTTCATGATTATGTCTACTTATGGTATTTCTTCCTAATCTTCTTGAACTTTGGTCTTACCATAAATTTAGATATTAAACTAACCAGTAAAATACAAACACTGAATTAATAATGTTTTCCTTTCCTATCTGTTGCTACCTCATTTTTCTTTCCCTCTATACAGGGGGTGGGGGAGTAGGGATAGGAGAGACAGGGACATAAGCGCCAAGCGTAAAATTTTAATGCTCCTCAGCAAACTTCAGTTGCAGAGCCAAAGGCTACCTCTCTCACAGAATTTATTTATATATGCTAAATACTATAACAAGACATACCGACTAATGAAAAACAACATTACAGGAGCTTATTTTATATCATTAAGAAATTTCACTTAGACTGATTCATCTATTCAAAAAATTATTGAACATCTATAATGTGGCACTGGTTTAAATAAGAAAAAAAATACACCAGGGTTGGAGGAAGTTTTGTACTTCTGGACGTTACATTCTGGCAGAGAGAACAAACAAAAAGTGAAGACAATAAATCAAGTCTGTGGTATGTTAGGAGAGGATAAGTGCGTGGAACAAAAGGAAAACAAAAGCTGGGTGGGGGAGTAAGGTGACAGAGCAGGTTGCTCGAGGTAACCTCATTGAGAAGGTGAAGTTTGAGCAAAGACTTGACCTGAGTAAGTTAGACATGTAGTAACCTGCAGGAAGAATGTTCCAGCAAAACTAGAGCTACAGTTCTAAGGCAGAAGCCTTCTGACCTGGCAAAGAACAGCAAGGACACCAGTGAGTCTGGTGTGGATGGAGCCAGAGGGAAAGTCTAATAATGGTTACAGAGGAGGGGGAATGGGGCAGGTCACCCTGGGCCTTTATTAGGCATTGTAAAGACTTTATACTCTGGGTGAGATTAAGAACCCACTGAGGGTTTGGGGCCTTAGCAGACCATAATATGATTTAATATGTAAAAGATCACTCTTCCAGCTGTGTTGACAATAGACTGAAGGGGCTTAGCATAGAAGAAGCAAGGAGATCCAGGGGCGCCTGGGTGGCTCAGTAAGTTGAGCGTCCTACTTCAGCTCAGGTCATGATCTCGAGGTCTGTGGGTTCAAGCCCTGTGTCAGGCTCTGTGCTGACAGCTTGGAGCCTGGAGCCTGCTTCAGATTCTGTCTCCCTCTCTCTCTGCCCCTCCCCCGCTCATGCTCTGTCTCTCTCTCTCTGTCAAAATGGATAAACATTAAAAAAATTAAAAAAAAAAAAAAGCAAGGAGATCTGATAGCAATCTGTTGGTAATTTAGAGATGGTGGTGTTTACCAGGGTAAGCAGCTGAGATGGGAGATGTGGTGAAATTATTTTTTTATTTTTAAGGTAAGGTACTGATGTTTTCGATTTGCCCTTTATTTTTTTTTTGTTAATGTTTATTTATTTTTGAGAGTGAGACAGACAGACAGAGTGCAAGCTGGGGAGGGGCAGAGAGAGAGGGAGACACAGAATCTGAAGCAGGCTCCAGGCTCTGAGCTGTCGGCACAGAGCCCGATGCGGGGCTCGAACCCACAGTGAGATCGTGACCTGTGCTGAAATCAGACGCTTAACCGACTAGCCACCCAGGTGCCCCTAGATCTGCCCTTCAATGACATGGTGATAGATAACTCTCTCCTTGACCAAACTCTAGCCGGGTTCTTCTGAGCTCTCTTCTTGACTAAGCCTTAATCCTGGCCTATAAAGAAGTGAACAAACACTAACATAGTTTGACAGCTCCAGGCTGCATCCCTAGGATGACTGTAGCTCCCTTTAAAGTACTTATCTGAGAGAACTCAAGCCTGCCAAAAGAATTTACTGTTTGTTCCAGCCAACATCTGAAGATCGGGCCTCCTCTCCTAGTCTCTGTGAGAGGGTAGGAGCCTAACTTGGAGAAACGCCAGCACACAAACCCAGATGTGTTTCACATCGACTAAACCCCTCTTCCTGCTTTTTGTAATTTTTCTTTTTCCTGACACTATAAAGCCCCCACTTACTCCTTTCCTATTCTCTCACTCTCCCTTTTATTTTTTTTTTATTTATTTAAAAAAATTTTT